CGACGTCCCCTGCTGCTGTGACGTCCTGATGAAGCCTGTGGAGGGCCCCGCGGCGTCGGGGGCTTCGTCGCTCGACTCGACGGCTGAGGTGGGGTCCTCCGTGGTGTCCGTGTCGACGGGTCGCTCTGTGCTGTCTAGGTCGTCGTCGTCATCGTCGTCGTCGAGATCTGGTCGAGACGTCGGTTCTGGTTCTGAAATAGGCTCGGGTGCCGGTTCGGGGGCGGGTTCGGGTGCCGGTTGCACCGTCGGTTCGGGCTGCGGGAAAGGGCCGGGCGTTGCCACCGGCTCGGGCTCTGGGCTGGGGTCGGGCTGGGGGACCGGGCTGGGGAACACGGAATCGGTGATGACCTCCGGCATTTCAGTCATGGCGTTGTTGTCGCCATCGTCGTCGTCCTCGTCGTCGGGGCTCGGCTTGGTATCCTCGGGCACCTCGACGCCGAGCGCTCCCATGATCAGATCCAACCTGTTCTCGATGGCGTTGTACCTCCGCTTGATCAGCTTCTCCAAGTCAATCTTGATCGAGCGCAGTTTGAAGGCGAACAGCGTGTTGATCTGCTCCATTAGGAGGAAGTTGTTCTGCTGGGTGAGCATCTGCACGCGGTCGTTGAACTCGTCTATCTCCTGCGGGGGCACGGCGATCTGGATGTGGTTCTCGACCGTGCAGTCCGACCGTGCCTTCGGGTTGTTGTTCGCCGTGTTGACCGCGTCGTTCACCTGGGTCAGCACGTGCTTCACCACGGCCTCGTTGTGCACCGTCTGTTTCAGCGAGTCCTCGAGCTCGTCCAGGTCCAGGAGACTCACGTGCTGAGACGTCCCCGACGTCTTGATGTTCGTCTGATAGACAGGGACGCCGTAGCCACTCTCGATCGATTGCCTCTTGCAGTCCAGGATGTAGTTCATGAGGTAAGTGGGCACGGACATCAACTCGCTGTCGTCGGCCGAAGCGACGCACGCCAACGACACTAAAACCAACAGACGTATCATTGCGGCTCCGTTTTTTTTCTGGCGATTTCTTGGGCTCGGTCTCACTGATCGAAGAAAATTCTAAAATAACTTTTTTATGATATTATCTCAGATCAGAACACATTTCCAGAAACGGATCTTGTTAGTTTAATTTCTTTTTTTTTTTAGTTTGTTATTATGGCTTTTTTCTCTTTTTTTCTCTCTCCCGAACGTCCCCGACCTCCTGCCGGCTCGGCCCCGATAACAATAACTAAGGAGGACCACTGACCCGCCTTTTATACTTGACGCCAGGCCGACTCGGCTAACGGTCCGGCGGTCGGGTAAACGGTGCCGAGGAGGAGGAGGAGGAGGAGAGGGAGGATGAAAGGGAGGAGGAGGAGAGGAATAGAGAAGAGGGAGGGAGGGGAGAGAAGAGAAGAGGAAGGAAAGAGGAGAGTGAGAGGCAAGGAGAGGGAGGAGGAGGAAGAGGTAGAGAAAAAGGAAAAAAGTAAAATAGGAGGACAGGAGAACAGTAAGAGCAAGAAAACAACGAGGAAAAAAGAGGAATGGAGAAACAGAGAAGTGGAAAGGATAACAGGAGGATAAGGATAAAGAAGAAGGGGTAAAGGGATGGAGGAGACGTAGAAGAAAAAAAATGAAAAGAAAAAGAAAAACAAGAACAAGAAGAAAATAAAATAAAATGAAAATAAAAAGAAGAAGAAGATGAAGGAGACGGAGGGAGGGGATAAGGGACGGAAGAGGAGCAAGAGGAGGAGGAGGGGAGGAGGGAGAGGGCTGGAGGAGGCTGGCAGGGAGACGAAGATGAAGCTCTCCATAATAATTTCGCAGATTCTCCCGGAAAGGAGAACCATTACGAAAGGACGCACATCCACAGCGAAGAGCGTACACCGAGCCTAAAATTATTATGAAATCAACTTCAGTCCTTTTAGTTTTTTTGGCGAAAGAAAAGCGTATTTGAAACACTCTCGTTGTGTATAATTATTTGCTCTGAAACTGAAGGCTGCCATGTCTTGTCTTTTTGAATGGAAAAGGCGGAGTCAGAAAGAATTTTTATTTATTCGTTAATCTTTTTTTAATTTATTTATTTATCTTTTTTGTTTGTTTGTTTGTTTGTTTGTTTGTTTTTGTTTTGGAAATGCCTAGTCGAAATCAGAAAGATTTTTTTTTATGCAAACATGCGTATACTACTTGCGATGAAATATATATTGCAATAAAATATATGAATGGAGGGGTTGCAAAAATACGGGTAAAAAAAAAAATAATAAAAAACAGATACATGCATTTGATTTTAAGAATATCAAAATACTGAAATTGAAGATAGCAGATGAGCAAATTAAAATGGACAGTAAGAAACATTACCGTCAAAAAATACATATATATATATTTTCTAATCATAAAATGAAATATAGAAGATATAAAGAAATAAAATTACACAGCAAAAAGAAAGAAAACAAAAGAAAAAAAACACACATCACTTTTACATTAAATTCCTACTAGGAAACAAATATAGTATACAAAACAAACAAATAAAAAAACAAGGATATGATAATAACACGATCATTCTACAAAAAAAGAAACCCCAACCTAAAAAAAAAAAAAAAAAAAAAAAAAAAAAAAAAAAAAAAAAAAAAAAAACGAAAAAAAAAGAAAAAAAAGAAGAAAAAAAACGAAACAGGTCCGATTCTCAAAGTTGTCTCAGAAGGTCGACGGTTCTCCAGCCGGTCGTCGCCGGGGTTAACGGACCAGGGGTCAGTGTGCTGTTGGGGTAGTCGGATGGGTCGGCGCCTTCTTAAGCGGATTTTGGCAGTATGCGAAGCGGGTCATTGTGTAGGGGGGAAATTTGATTGAAGTTATCTAACTTTTTTTTCCGTTGTGGATATTGTTGGTCTTTTTACGTAGAGTGGGTGAACATTTTATTAAACTTATCCATTTTTTATTTTGATTATTTTGATGTCATTGTGTAGGGGGAATATTTGATTAAAGTTATCTAACTTTTTTTTTGCTGTTGTTGTTGTGGATATTGTTGGTCTTTACGTAGAGTGGGTGAACATTTTATTAAACTTATCCATTTTTTTTTTTTTTTTATTTTATTTTTTTTATTTTTATTTTTATCTTTTTTTGTGGATAATGTTAGAATCGTCTTCTTGCGAAAAAGGTCTTTACGTAGCGCTGGGGGAAAATTTTACTAAAATCATCCAATTATTATTATTATTTATCAAATTCGTTGTGGATATTGTTAGATTCGACTTTTTTATTTTTAGCGGCATACGAAAAAGGTCTTTACGTAGCGCGTGGATAAGAAAGGGATAATTTATCCACGGCTTTGATAAAAGGAATAACTCCCCGTTGTGGATATTGTTACATAGGTCGTGAAAATTTTATCAAACTATTCCACGTTTTTTTATTTATTTTGTATTTATTATTATTTTTATTTTTAAGTCGCTGTGGATATTATTAGAATCTTTTTATGGGTATTTTAGCGACATACGAAAAATGGTCTTCACGTAGTACGAAAAAAAGCCTTATTCATACCTATTTATATAAAATTCGTAGCGGTTATTTAAAAAAGGTCGTCTCCTTTTATATGCGTGAGAAATTATCAAACAAAACTTTAATAAAAGGAATGACTCTTTGTTGTAGAATATCAACGTTTTTCATAAAGAACGTTTTGTTTTTTTTTTTTATTGATATATATGGCATTAGAAATGGAATTCAACGAAACATTTTCGCTCGTTATCCATTGATAAATGAGCGTTTTGAAAAATAAAGTAAAATAAAATCGTTCGAAACATTTTTAAAAGTCTTTCTTTTTTTTCTTTACAATTTAAAAAAAAGACAAATTATTTTGACGTGTCTAAGTGCTATTTCTTAAATCTGGTTACTGATTTTTTTCTCAAGGCACAAGCAAGTCGTACAAGGCAAGAGTAAGAGAAAAATTGAGTCAGTGCAAGGCAAGAGTATGAGATACGCAGACGGCACAAGGCAAAAGTAAGAGAGACAAGCAAAAGGTACAAGGCAGAGTAGCGAGAGTACAGTCGAAACAAGACAAATATAAGAGAGAGGTGCAGACGTTAAAAGGCAAAAAGAGATAAGACGGTACAAGGCAAAAGTAAGAGATACGCGCACGGTAAAAAAAAAATATAATAAACATGTACAGAGGGCACAAGGCAAAAGTAAGAGAGACACGCATAAGATACAAGACCAGAGTAAATGAGATGCGCAATCGACACAAGGCAAAAGTAAGAGACACACCCACGCGGCACAAGACAAATGTAAGAGAGATGTGCAGACGGGACCTGGCGAGGGTAAGAGAGACACGGTCAAAGGGGTGGAACATTAAACAGGTTTCGGGTAGCGGGTCCAGTGCGGTCATTGACGGAGTGAAGGAAGCAAGGGAGGGAGGATATGGGGGGGAGAGGGAGGAGGGAGAAAGGGGGGATGGGAGTGAGTGGGAGAGGGGAGGGATGTGGGGAGAAAAGGGAGGAGGGGGGATGGGAGAGAGTGGGAGGGATGGGGGAGTGAGAGGGAGGGATGTAGTGGGAAGGAGGAGAGAGGGAGGGGGGGAGGGAGGGAGAGGGGGGAGGGAGAGTGAGGAGGGGGAATGGGAGAGTGAGGGAGGAAGGGGGAGAGTGAGGGAGGAAGGGGAATGGGAGAGGGGGAAGGCAGGGTGAGAGAGTGAGGGAAGGGGGGATGGGAGAGAGGAAGGGAAGGAGGGATATGAGGGGGAAAAAGAGGGAGGGAGGGAGGGTAGATCTATGGATGCTATGTTAGGCGAGGTGAGTTTAGGAGAAGACTTTTAGGGAGGGGAGGGGGGGGGCGCTGGGAGGCATGGGGTACGAGTGTGTGGGAGTGGGGGGGAGAGATCTTGTGAGTCATAGAATGATTTTTTTTCTTTTTTTTTACGAGAAATGACACATCACTGATTTGGAAAATGGTGCTCACATTTAAAATATTCACAACAAAAAATGTTTGTTTCATTAATAAGAGCAGTAATAACATAGAAAGATAATAAAAAGAGTGAGAATTCACAATAATAATATAACAGTAATAATGTTAATAATAGCAATTAATATTACCATCAATTAAATAACAATAATGACAGTAATAACTATCATTAATGTCAAAGTAATGATGATGATAACGATAGCAACAGAACAATAACAACAATAATGATAGCAATAATGATGATGATGATGATGATGATGATAATTATCACTATGATATATTACTTAAAATACCGCAACAACAAACCTTTAAAAAATCACATGACTTTATAGAGGTCGTTTCACCAAGGGCACAAGAAGTCACAGTTTAATTTGCAATGAAAAACGAGTGAGTTGTTAGACGAGAGACAAGCTAAAGGCAGACCCAACAGGCAAGCTCGAATGACTCGTCTTCACTAACAGCTGTGTGTGATTTTAAGGTTTGTTTGTTGTCCTTTGTACGGGGTAGCTATTCAAGTTTTTTTTTTGTTTTGTTGTTGGTTTTAAGTTTTCTGGAAAATCTCGTTGGTATGTGATGTCTTTAGGGTAGATTGTTTAAAAAAGTGATGTTTTTTATATATAGGTGATGTTTTTATAATTTTTTGTAAGGATGAATTGTCAAAGAATATTTTTTCTTTTCTTTTTTTAACTGATATTTATTTTTAAGGCATATAAGGGGAAGACTTTTGGGTTTGTAAGATATTTTTTCATACATATGATCGTCTTTTTTGGGTGGAGTCTTCCTCATCCTCTCTCTCTCTCTCTCTCTCTCTCTCTCTCTCTCTCTCTCTCTCTCTCTCTCTCCTCTCTCTCTCTCTCTTCTCTCTCTCTCTCTCTCTCTCTCTCTCTCTCTCTCTCTCTGTCTGTCTGTCTGTCTGTCTGTCTGTCTGTCTGTCGTCCGTTTCCAAACAGCCTTCTCTTCGTCTCGCTCAACCTGTTATGAGTGTAGTACATATTATCGTTGATAATTGGTAGTCTGTCTGTATCCGCCTTCTCTCGTTTTTTCTTTGCCCTTCTCCCTCTCTCTTACATCTCTTTTGTCTCTTTCTTCTTCCTCTCCCCCTTTCTTTTCCCTTTTCATACTTCTTTTCTTTCTCTCTCTCATCTCCCCCTTTCCGTCTTCTATGTCTTTCCCTCCTCTCTCTCTCTCTCTCTCTCTCTCTCTCTCTCTCTCTCTCTCTCTCTCTCTCTCTTCTCTCTCTCTCTCTCTCTCTCTCTCTCTCTCTCTCTCTCTCTCTCTCTCTCTCTCTCTCTCTCTCTCTCTCTCTCTCT